ATTAATCATATTAATTATGAGCCTTAGGCCCATTAACTATATTACTCACAACCCAAGAGTGTTGCTCGACTAATTTAGGTTTGATTTGTATGGCGTGGGACCCCACAATGACCTCACATAAGCTCACATGGGTTCGGCCCAACGTTTGTGGAAAGGCCTGGCTGAATTCTTTGCTAAACATAGTGAACCCTTGAGCTCATCATTATGGGCTTAAAATGGGCCCAACATTTACAAGTAAATGATCATTGAATCCAGCCATCCTATGAAGCCTCAAGGATAATGGACTTAAGTAAGATAAAGCCCATTAGGTAATCAGCCCATAATGGTCTCTTACATTTAACTTCTCAGCCCATAATGATCAAACATTACCCAACAGGGAAGGACCTTTCCCCTAGCTGCAAGGTGTAGTGTCACACTCTCTGCTTGGATGGATCTCGGGAATTAAAACCTTTTGCAAATATTTTTCATAAAACATAATATATATATATATATATATATATATATATATATATTGCAAAACCAAATCTTAAACACAGTTAAAATTCAATGTTGACAATTTAGGTTTCCATAAAAAAGAGTGTAAATTTGATCATTCACTTTGTCTGACAAAGGGGCCAATCCTATCACTATAATCACCCACTTAAGTGAATTCTCAAACTTCCCTAACATACTTAGGTTTTGACCCACAAAGGATCTCACTGATTGGTATATCAAAGACAGCGCAATCTGCTTAGGTTTTTGACTAACAAAGGATCTCACTGATTGGTATATCAAAGACAGCGCAATCTGCTTAGGTTTTTGACTAACAAAGGATCTCACTGATTGGTATATCAAAGACAGCGCAATCTGACACCTAGTGCAATACCATAATTAAGTCTAGGGTTATGTGTAACTTTCTAGTTTTGCTCATCAATCTCCAAGGTTTAGGGTATAATTGGAAAATGGTCTAGGTTTAGTGTTTCAGCCAAATATACACTACATGTGCTTTGGGTCTAACCCTAGCAACTGAAATAAACTGCCCCAACTTCTTTGGTAGCACATCAATGTTAGCCTTGGTATGATAAATTTCCCAAGTTCATCCAACGGATGATAACATTCTAAACTAACACGAGTCTCATAAGTGTCCAGTTTAAGAGGTAAATTCACGGGAATATACAATGTCAACATGAAATAATAATGTACTTTTATTTATTTACAATAAATATATCTCTACATCAATCTGATTGGAGCTAAGGGCATACACTCTCTAACACCTAGATGTGTGACTTATTCCATGTGTATAGGGCTTTTATGTCTTTACTTGTGATTGATTATACAAACATATTGGAACACTTGTTTTACTGCTAGATTCGTACACGTTTTGGACAGAAGGTCGAGATCAGATTGTATGTACAGAGTAGTAGATCCAGAGTCTTTTAGGTGCCAATTTGCTCAATTGGCAAGGTCTCTGGATGGTCTACCCTCCCCTTATGTAGTTCCATGGAGAAAAAAAAAACGATAAAAAGGAAAAAGACCTTATTTTTACAGGGTTCAACAATAACACTGGAAAACATATAACAAATCAACTAGTATCATAAACTAGTAACCAATGATCAGGTGATATTTATTAGAATTTAGGGGGGGGGGGGCTTTGATTGGTCAAAACTCTTATGATATCATAATTTCAAGCACCATATAGATTTACCCTTGTTTATAACATAACAGGTTGACTACAAAAAATAATTCACACTTAAACCTACTGATTAGGTTCCGCTTTTTAATAAGGGTAGATTACTTATACCTCCCCTTGAGTTTTACTCATCAAATGTTTTTTCTATTGATAGAAAAGAGAGAATGGGTTGGGGCTCATACAGAAGATACTTTCCCAGAAACCTAAACAAGTTAAATATAAAAGATGAATACATTATTACCAAATCTACTATTTTTTCCAAATAACTACCCATCGTTCACCAACTAATCTGTTGCTTGGTTTGCTTTTCAGGTTTGACGAGATGGAATAAGTAACTTTAATTCAAGGGTGAGTAAATAAATAAGTAAATCCCAAGGGACTGAAGGAGATCACCAAAACTCAGCCCCCAGGGAAATTTGGGTTTCCTCCACACCCACCTCACAACACATTAAAGCCGCACATCTGGGACATCTCCCATCTATTTTTTATATATAAAGTGACTCAGTCCAAATGTCATTCTACTATATTTCAAAACTTACTCTAAAATCCTCAATCTAACTTTTTGGATTTTTTTTAATATTCTTAATATTCTTAATATTAAAGCCATTTAATTGAGGAATTCAACCACTCAGTCCACATGTCGTTCTATTTTTTTTGAATATTCTTAATATTTTAAAGTCATGTAATTGAGGAATTCAACCAATGGCAACCTTCTTTAAGTAAGTTTAAAACCATTTCGCTCCTAAAATTTCTCCCACTATCTTCTCTCTCATATTAATTACAAAACTATATCCCACACTTTGCTAGCTTCTCCTAAGTAATGAAAGTTATTTTTTGGTAATTTGGAAATTAATTTTGATAAATTATTTTGGTAGATTTCATAATTAATTTTGATAAATTAGGTAATTTATTTTGGTAACTTTGGTAAATTAATAACATTTGAAAAAGAAACCAAAAGTTAATTGCAGTAAATTCATTTTTCTTTATTTTGGTAAATTAATAATTTATCAAAAATTACTAATTAATTTTTGTAATTATCATACAATAGTTTTATTAATTTAATAACATTGGTAAATTCATTTAGTGATTATTAATTTATCTAAATTATTTTTGGTAAATTTTATAATGAATTTTGATAAACTAATTTTGACAATTCTGTTAAGTTTTGGTATATTCCCAAAATAAATTTTTGTTTATTTTTATAACTAAGAATTAAAGAAAGATTATTATTTTTTTCTAATTTATGAATAAATAATTGTGGTCATTTTGGAAAATTATTAATTTATTAATTTTGGTGAACTATTAATTTCCACAAGTAAAGTAATTTTGAAAAATTTGACAATTTTTGTACAATAATTTTGTTAATTTTGGTGATATCTTTTGTTATATGGGAAATTAAATTTATGATTCATTTTATTATATAAGTTTAGGTGATTTCATATATTAATTTTTGATAAATAAATTTTCATAATATTTGATAATTTAATTATTGTAGTTTTGGTTATTTGGGAAATTCATTTTGCTAATTCAGGTAAATCAATTTTTGTAATTTTGGTAATTTAGGTGAATCTAATAATTATGAATGCAATGGAGGATTTTTTTGCTCTTATTACAATTAATTTGGGATTCATTCAGCTAGACAAAATCTTGGTTCTCATACTCTTGATAAACAAAATTTGGGTATAGAGAGTTTCATTTGATTAGAACTATTATTTTTTTTTTTTTGAGAATTTGTTAAGAGACCTACCACATCATCCATTTTCATCTAAAAACATTAAAATTATCAAACTATTTATATAAAGCGTATCAATGAACAACAGATATGATACGATACGCCCATTTGGAATGTAGGACCTGAGCATTACTTGTATGTTTTCATTCAAATTAAGGGAGATATCCCTGATGGTCCTATGCAGGTACTGTAACTGTGAGGTGGGTGTGAGGAGGAAATTCGGAGTCCCCTCAGGGCAGTATACCAGTAATTTACCATTTTAATAATCAGGGATGCACTTGAGTATGAATGTATAAAAACAAAACTCACTCTAGTAAGAGACTATTTGGGAGTGGTTAAGCTTTTATCTAGCAGATGTGGCCCATGAATGGAAACACAGCACCACAATCCCAAACACTGCTATAATCTTAGCCTACACTTCCAACACTTGTAAAGTGGACACATATCTAAATACATGAATTTTTATTGTATTTGTTATTAGGGCTTAGTTGGGAAGGAGTACAAATACAAATATGTAGAGTGCAAAAACTTGTATTTTATATGTATTTATACAGTACGTATTTGTATTTGTACTCCTTCATTTGAGACCTACCAATGCTTATTGTATTTGTTATTAGGGCTTAGTTGGGAAGGAGTACAAATACAAATATGTAGAGTGCAAAAACTTGTATTTTACATGTAATTTATACAGTATGTATTTGTATTTGTACTCCTTCCAAACTGAGCCTATGGAAGGAGTACAAATACAAATGTGTACTGTGCAAATACATACAAAATGTGTAATAAAAATACAAATGTATAGAGCGCAAAGCCTTGTATTATATATTATTTTGTATATATTTATACTGTACATAGCCTAGGTGTTTTGTTTACTTTACAAAGGGTAAAACAAAGTATATGTTACTTCGTAGACCTGTTCATGGGCCGGGTAGCCCAACGGGCTGGCCCGGCCCAGTCCGATCTAAGTTGGGCTTGGACAAGATTTCAGGTTCGGGCTCGGACTTTTCAAAAAAACCCGGCCCGAACCCAACCCTGACTTGATAACGTTTTATATTAATAAAAATATATTTTATATAATAAAATATATATATATATATATATATATATATAATATTTTCTTCTCTTTTTCAAGTAATAATGAGACTTTTCATTATTTTTTTAGGTTTTGAGGTCTTTTAGTATAAATAAAACAACTTTTAATTGAATTAAAAAAGAAATATCTTTTTTTTTTCCAAATTTCTAGTTGGGCCCAAGCTTCGGGCTTTATAATCGAGCTGGGCTTGGGCTCAAGACCTAGGTCCAGTGGTCAGACCGGACTTGGGCTCGGGCCTAAATATTTTCTATTAATGTAAAGGCAAAGCCCCACCTGGCCCAGCCCATAAACAGGTCTATTATTTCGTGTTCCTTTTTCCAATAGGTTAGGGCTGCAAGTCCGGAATCCGGACTTCGGTTACCCCAGCTTGAAGAATTTCAACTTTATTGGGCTTTGGGTAAGGTTTAGGTCCATTGAAAATTTAACAAAATTTCAAGCCAACTTAAGTTGCACCTATTGGGCAACCATTTCTTTGTATGACACATAGCCTAGAGACTACACTACAATTAAAAGATGGGAAATCGATTGATCATAAAAGGGGCACTCAGATCACGAAACTTTGGCATGGTTAGAGCTATATACGCACCTTCTAACTGAGATATCCTTGACACCACTTGATGTTGATGAACCCTAATTCCATGAAAGATGTCTCTAATCCGAATTAATTCCTTAGCAGCCTCACTTATATCCATTCGTTCTCTAGGACATTTCTCGGAACGTTCAGCCAAACGTGCAGATCCTAAGCTGCAAGTCACCGCACAGAGCACTGGACTCCGATCAATTGCCATACTACAATTTCCAAAGTTTGTGATACCTCCATTTTCTATTTCTTCTACTCCTTGGTTTTGTAGGAGTATTGGGTCAAAGATCCTTATCGCTTCTACAGGCAAAGCCATTTTTGCAAATTTTTGGAGGTTCAAATCATCTTTGAACATTTCATCTGTTGGTTTCTTTCCTGTGAATATCTCTAGTAAGAGGATTCCGTAGCTATAGACATCCCCATGTTTGATGCCTCACCGCTTGTATCATACTCTGAAATTCATACAATACAGTCGAAGTTTTAATTGCAAGAATCAAACATTTTTATAATTTTAATGATAAATCTGAATTTTTCCTTTTTCTCTCAAAAATGAAGAAATTCTATTTCAAAAACAGAGAACATAAAACCGGTTTAACGATATAAAAGATGATATGTGAGTCGAAAGTCCAAGCATTACGAGAAGAAAGAATTAAAGCTAATCTAGCAAATAGGGGTGCAACTCAGGCCGGGTTGAGGTAAACTGTAATCCAGGTTGGGCTTGGGTTGGGTACAGGTTGGTCTTGACTCTTGAGTTGGCCCATTTCTTTATTTCCTTTTGTCAAATGTACTTATTTCCTATATTCTAAGGGTTTTATATCAACTTAGTATTAGCATTATTATTTGTAACAATATAGGTATTATGTTTAAAAAAATCACTGCCATTAAACTTAAAATTTTTTGATATAAAATATCTATATATAAATACAGTATATGCATAGATAAATAAATAGTTACAAACAAACATACATACATACATACATACATATATACATATACATAAATATTAACAAACATAAACACATATTTATATAATATTTATACATGAAAATATGAAATTAAATTGGATTTAGATTGGTAAAAGCCTCAACACTAACCCAACCCAACCCAAATTTAAGCTGGACTCAGGTCGGATTCAGACTAACCTGGCCCAAGTGGCAGCCCTACTACCAAGTACCAAAGATATGTGCTGTTTTGGTAATAAAAATAAAAAATAATAATAATAACAATAAAAAACCTAGCAAAGGTATTAAAAACCGTAAATTGATACAAGAGTGGTGGGGAATAACCTAGCAGGAGAAGATTGCCCACTCTATAAATGGTGGACATATAATTTCTTAGCCATTTTATGAACATATCAATGGAGTACAATCAAGTAGTGCTTTAAAACTTGGCCCAGAAGTTGAACCGCTCCCTATGGGTTAATGTATTAGCAGGATGGTTTTCAAAATCGGACCGGACCGGATGGTCTGACTGAAAAAATTGTGAACTGGTCAGGTAATCAGTTTTGTTTTTCCCCAAAACCGGATTTTCTCCAAAAACCATTGATTTTGGTCAGCAAACCGCTGACCCTGGCAGTTAACTGTTTGAACCGTTTGAACAGTTTTGACCATTTTTTATTTTTTTTATTTTTTTGTCAGAATGGGCTGATCGTTCGGTTCGAATGGTTGGACCGTTTTACTTGGTAACCAGACCCTAACTGGTTCGGTCTCCGGGTTGGTTTTAAAAACCATGATTAGTAGTTCAACTATCTAGGTCAATAAGTATACATCTATTTTACAAAAGAAAAAAAAAGGAAACAAACAATATAAAGCCTATATAAAAATTTCTAATTATTAAAAAACTAGCAGAAGTGTAAGACAAATACCTGGAGGAGTATAGCCAATAGTCCCTTTCAAAACAAATGAACTGGCCTGGCTGTGAGAGGGATAATTTGGGTCTTCTAAAAGTAGCTTTGCTAGACCAAAATCGCTTACATGGGCAGTAAAATCATTGTCAAGAAGAACATTGCTTGGTTTTAAATCACAGTGAATAATTGGTGTATGACAGTGATTGTGAAGATAATCCAATGCAGATGCCACATCAATTGCAATATTTATTCTCTGAAGAATGTTCAAATTTCTCTGCTCATTATGTGCATCCATGTCTGGATGTAACCAATCCTCTAAACTCCCATTGGCCATAAACTCATAAACTAAGGCTTTGAAATCATTGCCTTTGAAGTCCAAACTTGAACAAGAGGTTAAGATCCTCACAAGATTCCTATGCCGGATGTTCTTCAATGCATTGCATTCTGCCATGAAGCTTTTGGAAGCTCTAGGTTGTTGAAGGTTGAATACCTTTACTGCAACAGTTATTCCTTGATTCAGATTTCCTTTATACACAGAACCAAAACTACCAGAGCCAAGAAAACTAGATTCAGAGAATCCACCTGTAGCTTGAAGTAGTTCTTTGTAAGAAACCATTAAATGTTGATCGCCCATTGGTGGCATATTCAAAGATTTCCGTTTGGAATTTCCCTTCCAGTATAGAACAAGAAATATCAATAACAAGAAAAGGCATAGAACCCCAACAGCTACTGCAATTATTACTCTGGAAATAGTTGATTTTCCTCCTCTTGTGGAAGCTAATGAGCAGCTCGGCAACTGTAGTTCAGGGATTTCCCCACAAAGCTTATAATTTCCAACCACTGAAATTGCACTTGCATTTGCAAAAGCTCCTTTTGTTGGTACCTCACCCACAAGACTATTGAAAGACAGATTGAAATTACTTAAGAGATGAAGGTTTTCAAAAATCTTTGGAATCTGCCCTGATAAATTGTTGCGTGAAAGATCTAGACCTTGAATAGCCTTCAACAGGCCCAAAGATTCAGGAATGGTGCCATTGAAGGAGTTACCCTCCAAATAAAGGTTCTCCAAATTAGAACAATCACCAATTGTTACAGGAATTTCACGAGATAAATTGTTTTCAGAGAGGTCAAGTATTCCAATATTTTTCATTTTTCCTACTTCCAATGGTAGAGAACCAGAAAGAGAATTGTAAGACAAGTCGAGGATCCTCGTTAGAGAATAAAGACCAATAACTTGTCTTGGTATGGAGCCATTAAGATTGTTATGATGAAGGGTTAATGTTTGTAACTTTTGGCAATTTCCAAGGCTAGAAGGAATGCAACCTGTAAGATAGTTCACTTCCAAGTGAAGTAGATTCAAAGAAGTGATATTGCCTAGGGACAATGGGATCTCTCCTGCGAATCTATTTCCACCCATGAACAACGCCTTTAGTTTCTGGAGCATTCCGATAGCAGTAGGAATGCTACCTCCAAGTAAATTTCCTTCCATGCTTAAACCAGTCAAGTTCATGAGGTTCTCGATCCCTGAAGGTAAGCTTCCAAAGAGTTGGTTCTGTCCAAGTGCTAGTATTGTGAGTTGGGTTGACAGATTAGCTATAGCTTTGGGCAAAGAACATCCAAAGTTATTGTTCTGTAGTTGCAATATTTCTAGATTACTACAGTTGGTGAGTTCAGTAAGAAAAGCTAGATCATGAGCTTGCCCTGTTCCAAACCGATTGTACGCAAGACATAGAGACCAAAGATTTTGAAGTCTACCAATTTTAAGAGGGACTGATCCAGTAAAGCTGTTTTGGCCAAGATCAAGTCTTTCGAGTCCCGAAATATTGAACAAAGAAACTGGAATAGGCCCAGTGAAATTGTTTACATCGAAACCAAGTACTTTTAGTTTTGGCATAGTGAGTCCTACATCCAGTGGAATTCTCCCATAGAATCGATTAAGTGCAACATTAATGAAAGCAATAGATGACATGTTGTAAATCCAGTTAGGGAACATACCAGACAACTCATTTGCACCAACATAGAGATTTGATAATCTTGTCAATCGGCCGAGATCCTTTGGAATGCTTCCCTCCATGCTATTATCCACTAGACGAAGAGATTGGAGCGATGACAGGTTCCCAAAAGAAGGTGGAATTTTTCCAGTCAAGTAATTTGCACTAAGAATCACTGCAGAAAGCTTGGACAAAGAATCCAACTCGAAGGGGACTTTTCCGGTAAGGTTGTTTCTTGATAAGTCAAGCACTTTGAGATTGTAGCAGTTGGTCAGATTTCTTGGAATTTCTCTTTCAAAATTGGCATCGGAAAGGTTGATATACCGTAGACGGAGCAAACGACCCACTTCTTGGGGGATTGCACCATGGAAGCTATTATCTCCGAGTTCAATGGAGCGAAGAAATGTGAGGTTCCTTATACAAGGAGATACAGTTCCCACCAAGCTCTGTCCCTGTAAATTCAATACAGTAACTCGTTGATGCCGGCGACCACATGTGATCCCTTGCCACTCACAAAAATGGAGAGACTCGTTCCAGGAACTTAGAGCTCCCAAAGGATCGTTAGTTATCGCATTCTTGAACTGAAACAAGGCCAGTCTATCCGTCTCATTTCCTAAGGGGGTAGCATTGGTGGTGATGGGACCTTCTGAACACAACAAGAGAAAGAAGACATGAATTGCAGATAACCGAAATAGAGTGGAGGCAATCGATGGGAGCTCAATCTTCATGGGGACTTTGGGGAATGACAAAGGTAGATAGCCAGAGAACTATCTGCACCACTCAGGAGAAAGGTAATTTCTTGTCTATGATATGCGATGGAAAAAATAACTTATATACTGATGTTGGAAACTGTCTTCCTTCACCATCCAAACAATATAACAAGTAGTCCTATCGTCTCCACCATGCTCTGTTCTTGAGAGAATTGACCACAGGCGATCTAGGTCTTGTAATTATCGAAAAACACAACCAAGTCTTAAGTCCTTTCGGTCTTTGTCTTCCATGATCTCAACGTGTCTATCACTCTCGGTCTTTGTCCAGTATCCCCTGCTTGACCGTGAAGTGAATGTTCAGTGTTCTTCTCTCCCCACCATATCTTGACTTAGACTTAAGTAAATGGCTCCAATCTCATCAATGGCACTTTTTTTTTTCCACCATTTCCATTCATAGTTGGCTTTTTTTTTTTCTTTGTGTTTTGCTTTTCTTTTTGAACATAAAATGCTCTGAATTTTCATTTATCAAAGATCCTTGATCAGTTTTTGTTACAATTGCTGTTTCTCTATGAAACCTTTCCGGTTGATCAATACAAATCGGTGGAAAATATAAAAATAAATGTGTTTGTTACAAATTGGAGAAAAATATAAAACAAGAAGTATGTATATACTACTAATGTAAAAATTAGATTTATCAAATCCCAAATCCCACTTAATTTCTCAAGAATATCTGGATTCGATTTAATTACTAAATCGGTCATTTTCAGATATCAATATTGATAAACGAATATCTAAAATATGACTTAAACGAATTGGATTTGAAATTATATCAGATTAAATCTGATCCATTTGCAAACGTAATCAAAGTTCAAGGAATAAAATGATATTTTATGATTTCTTAAGAACATAGTTCCAAGGAATTTGTTCTTTTAGCTGGCCAATGTGGAGTAATTGCGAGGCATTCTGATCCACCCCCCATTGGATTACAGACCCTATCATTGAAGGTCCATCTGTTCATTCCCCTAATCCACATTAGATGCATACCTACCTTTTAATTTTAATTTAGCGTCTGTTTGGCATGGATGTCGTTGCTCCAAAAAACAGTGACATCAGTGCCATCTCATTTTCACCCTATTAGCATATAACCTCGACATTTCTTCCATTGGATTGATATCAGCGGCTCACATGAATCTAATGTTGGTTCTTATGAAGAAATGAATCGTTCAAAGAATTCGAATAAGAGTGGAAGAAGGTGTTCCAATGGAAGGGATTGAGACATAAATTCTTTAAACTTGCTCTCCTATGTAGTTAAAACTGTACCGGACCCGAGAGGTCTCTCTTCTTTGAGCAAGTATCATGGATGTTAGAACTAAAATCAGGTTCTAGAGATTGGATTTTCTTGCTCTTCTTCATGGTCAAGTTATTCATTGATTTTATATAGCTGTGCAAGTTGGGCAGACTGGGCCAGGTTTAAGTTCAACCTAGGCCCAACCCTAAGACTAGGGTATAACGCCCGAGCTTGGCCTTGGAAGTTCAAGCCTGAACTGTCCCATTCATATTTCATTAAATTAGTAATTAAATACGAAAATTTTCTTCATATTAATTAATTGAATTTTAGATATATCATAATTAAGATAGAAATTGAAAATTAATAAAAATAACAATTTAATTAAAAATAACCTTAAATGCTTGTGATAAATGTGCATACATATTATACATGAAAATTTTAAATTGCATTAATAATTATTATTATTAAATTTTGTATTCCATTTTTATTATAAATAAAAATAATTTTTACTTTAACAATTAGGTTCGAATGGTTGTTAGGGGGTGCCCCACCCCAAACCTGCCCCGTTGCTATTCCTATCTCCGAGCCTCCGATGGATTTTCCTATTGACCTAATTTATGGTCTGAACTGGAGTCTGGAGGGTAGAAGTTCACATGGCCCAATTGCAGATTTGCAGGGCCCATTACATTGGTGGTAAATGGTAAGACCGTAAGACGATAAGCGTGGGCTTGATTGATAAAATTATCCATTTGTAAGTAAGCATCCTAACATACACGCAATACTGGGTCAATAATATTATGCCCCGTCATCTATGTACACGTGGTCTCACACACCAGGCTATGTGGTGTATCATGATTGTTGGCATCTGATTTACGTATAGACCATTAATAATCTACCTTGTGGTGTGTGAGTACAACTGGGTTTTCAGATTTTATGTGAGCAGGTTTCTAAGTAAAAGTAAATAAATAAAAGCCTTGAGCTTGCCCACGTCAACGCCACAGTCTAGAGTGTTGTAGATTTTCGAGATCAAATTCATTAAAATAATTATAAAAAAGAATTAACATCCATTTGACCTTATTTAAAAAATCGCAGATTATACAAAAGGATCTTAACCATATCCTGACTCACTGAAACTTTGAAGGGGATAAGTGGACATAGGTCCTCGTGAAGCTTACTGGCATTTGCTATGCCAATCAGCCATAAAACAATAAATCAAGGCTCTAAGTCGTCGCTTAATCCTCGATATATTGGAGTATCTAATGGTCATGTGACAAATTACATGTTGATGAAAGATTATCTTATAATTATCTTCATGTAATATTTTTATACATGGTTTTCAAAATCAGACCGGACCTGATGGGCGGACTGGAATTGGTTTTTCTCAAAATCTGATTTTTTATAAAAATCGATGATTTTGGTCAGTAAACCATTGATCCGGGCGATTAATCATTCAAATGGTTTTGACCGGCTTTTATTTTTTTAAATTTTTTATTTTTTTGTTAGAACAGGCTGATCATTAGGTTCGAACGATCGGACCCTTCGACCTGGTAACTAGACCCCTGACTGATCTAATCTTCCGGTCGGTTTTAAAAACCATACTTTCATATACAATCATTTACTTTTTTCTTAAATTATTATTTATTTATTTATTTTCTATATAAAAGAAATTTATTTGATTGTTTACTTGAAAATCTTTTATTCCTAGAGATGCTAATATTGTTAGATTACTCTAGATCTTAGTTCCTACTCTTATTGGATCAATTGAAATCCATTTGACTTGGTTTAGGCTGGATGAGCAAATGGTTAGATCATTGGTCAATGAAACACTTGTCTCAATCTGATGGGGCTTCAATCAGTCTCTTGGGGAGCAATCCACCCAACGTTCTTATTCAGTTGTTTCATTCCTAAAATTAGAGAGAGGTTAACGTTGGGTGGGAAGGTTATAAAATAGTGTTCTCTCAGCCAAACGCTCAGCCCTATTCAAATTAAGTTGTCTCCAATTGTTTCTTGAATCTGTGAGTCTGTCTCTAGATCTTAGAGATTTCCCTTTATAGTAGCTTTCAAGTACTTAATCTGAGTTCTACAGGAGACCGAATCAGCCTCCTACAACGTCTCACAGCACATCTTTGCCATGCACGTGTATTAAGAATGTCTCCCTATGATAATATCAGAAATGATGATGTCATTATCGGGAGATGTTTCCAATACACGTACAAGAATGTGCTATAGGATGTTGTCGGAGACTGATTTGAACCAATAGGCAATTTAGTCTCATTTTCGCAGTCTGGAACATAGAATCTTTCTTGGAATATCATAAAAGCAGGGAAATTGCTATATGTTGATTTGGGTTAAAAGGAAGCCTATTAGGTTCAGAGCAATTCCCACTTACAAAGTTGGTGAAACTTGAAAGTGAAAAATATTAATATATAGAATCAAGAGTTTTAAAATGATATTTCCCATATATATATATATATATTGACAGATTTATCTTTCGTTGGGCTATCCATGAACTTCAAAATAAATCATGCATCAAACCACGTCCTATAAAAGACAAGATCAATAATCCCTACGTGTGTAACTCTCCACCTTCTACCAGCCCAACCCAGCAATTCAGCCTTAACAACCTTTTCTCAACTTTCTGTTTCTTTCTTATTTTATAAGAAACTAAATACAGGCTTATTCAAATTCATTCAAAACTGAAAAGGAACAATTAAGCCCAGAAGCATTGCTACACGATAAATTCAGAACTCACAAAAAAAGAACGAGCCCACAAGCGCCACCCAACCAATACACCAAGTAAACCTGAAAACCAACAAGCAGTTCAGAATTACGTATAAATATAAGAGCCATTCAAAACCAACACCGTTGAAAGGTTACAAGCCACGAGCCTCAACCAACCAGTATACTTGTACACCACGTAATGACAAAAATGAAACAGACAGTTTTATGTCAAACCAAACAAGAGAGGACTTTTGAAGAGTTTGATTAATGACAAAGCAATAAAATGAACTTTTGAAGTCTTTGGACTATTGGCTTCATTCAATGATGGTTACAACTTGGAAGGTTCAAATCAATCCGATCATTAGTTCTAGTTGATGTTGATGTTGATGGTTACAACTTGGAAGGTTCAAATCACTCCCAAGACCCCAGATGGCTGAACTAAGGAGTTGCCCGAGATAGACAACTCTCTAATGGTATGTTCATCAGATGATTGTGATAATGACATTCAACAGTCTTTTAGATAAACTGGTAGAGACCGCTTAATGGTGGTCTGACCCAAAGTCTTGATTTGAATCACCGAAGGATGAACAACGACGGTGGTTTATGGTTGCCAGCAAGAGGTTAACTACGTGTAACCCTCTCTGAAGCTTTGGTCTCCTGAAAATGTGATCTTCTTATGCCTGCGGGTTGGAAAACTTATGCCAGCATCATTTAATTCATACTCTTTTATCTCGAAGACAATTGTTTAAACTATTGAATTGTGTGGGAATAGTGGTGGCAATTGGGCGGGTTGGGATGGATTTGGTTTGGTTTGAGTTTCAATCCAATCCATTTAACCCGCCAACTCGTTTATGACGTAGTTATATAAAATTAAATGGGTTGGATTCAACCCAAACCCGCTTTAATCTAATCTAATCCGTCCAAATTTATTAATCTTATATTTATGTACTTAACACAAAAAAACTAGCTCCTTTTTAATAAATAAGTTAGTCATAGCTTAGTGGTAATA